CCTCCACCTGAACCCGGGGGGGGTCCCTGGGGGTTTCCCCTCTACCCTGACCCCTCTGTGACCCCCCGGGATTCCCCCTGACCCTCCTGTCCCTGGGGGAGCCACTGTCCCCCCACGTCCCCCCAGGGGGTCCCCCCAATGCCCCCCCGACTCCTGGGGACCCCCTGACCCCCCCTGTCTCCCCCAGGACGGGGGTCTCCAGCCCGGCAGAGCCCCCGGCCCGGGGCGGCAGCGCAGCGAGTTCAGCCTGATGGCCAAGTGAGGGGGGGCTGGGGGGCCTGGGGGGGGGCACAGGGGGGGGGGGGGGACGGGGAGGGTTGGGGTCTCCAAAACTGGGGGGGTTTGGGGCCTCCAGGTGGGACAGGAGGGGTTGGAGTCCCTAGAAATGAGGGGTTGGGGTCCCTGGCTGTGGGGGGACAGGAGGGGTGGGGGTCCCCAGAAATGAGGGGTTGGGGTCCCCGGGTGTGGTGGGACAGGAGGGGTTGGGCTCTCCAGGAGGGGGGATTTGGGGTCTCCAGGTGGGGCGGGAGCAGCTCCGGGTCCCCAGGAATGGGGGGGAGGGTCCCCAGGTGTGGTGGGATCGGGGTGGGGGGGGTCCAAGGACACCCCAAAATCCCTGACCTTCCCTCTTCCCCCTTCCCAGACGCATCGGGAAGGACCTGAGCAACACCTTCGCCAAGCTGGAGAAGCTCACCATCCGTGAGTGGGGGCTGGGGGGCCGGGGGGGGGGGGTTGGGGGGGGGGAGGGGGGCCCTGGCAGCCCCCCCTCACTTCTCTCCCCCCCTCAGTGGCCAAGAGGAAATCCCTGTTCGACGACAAGGCCGTGGAGATCGAGGAGCTCACCTACATCATCCGCCAGGTCGGGGCGGAGGGGGGGGCAAGGGGGAGGATTTGGGGTGTCCCCGACCCCAGGGGACAGAGTTTGGGGTGTCCCTGACCCCCCTGTGGCCCCCCCCAGGACATCACCAGCCTGAACAAGCAGATTGCTCAGCTGCAGGAGCTGCTCCGGGCCCGGGGGGGCCCCGGCGGGCGCCACGTCCACTCCCACTCCAACACCGTGGTGGTGTCGCTGCAGGTGGGACTGGGGGGCACTGGGGGGCACTGGGGGTGGGAACAGGGGGGCAGGGACACCCAGCCCCCCCCCCGCACCTCCTGAGCCCCCCCAATTCTCCCCCCCCCCAGTCCAAACTGGCCTCGATGTCCAACGACTTCAAGTCGGTGCTGGAGGTGCGGACGGAGGTGAGTCCTGGGGGCTTCTCCCCCCTCCCTTTGTCCTCTGTTTCCAAATTTCCTTCTCCCTTTCTCCCTTTTTTTATTTCTTCTTTTTCTCATTTCCTCCTTTCCCTCTTTTTTCTTTCGTTTTCTCTTGTTTTTCTTTCTCCTCTTTTCCCTTTCTCCTCTTTTCCTTTCCTCTTTTTTCCCTTCCTCTTTTTTCCTTTCCCCTTTTTTCCCCCATTTTCTCATTTTCTCCTTTTTCTTCTTTGCCTTTTATCTTCTTGACTTTCTTCATTTCCCCTGTTTTTCATCCTTCCCTTTTCTTTCTGCCTTTAATTTTTCCCCTTTCCCCCTTTTTTCCTTTCCTCCCGTTTTTTCACTTCCCACCTTTTTTCCCCTTTTCCCCCTTCCCCTGTTTCCTCCCTTTCCTTCTTTTTCCTCTTCCCCCTTTTTTTCTCCCCTTTTTATC